TCTTGTTGTCCCTTCGTCCCACACACACCCATTTAAATGACTATATAATAGACAGTCTAAGTGACCATTTGCAGCAGCTCCACTCGTTGTCCCTTCGTCCCATTTACATCCATTTTTATGTGCATATACCAAAATGTCAATATGACCACTAGCAGCAGCTTCCCTTGTTGTACCTTCGTCCCAGTCACAACCATTTTCATGGGCATATTTAATGCAGTCTAAATATCCATTCGCTGCAGCCAATCTCATTGTACCTTCAATCCAATGACATCCATGTTTACGGGCGTATTTTAAACAATCTAAATTACCATGCACAGCTGCTACAGCTATCGTATCTTTATACCAATTACATCCGTTTTCATGAGCATATATCAAGCAGTCTAAATAGCCACTTGCTGCAGCAGCTCTAGTTGTGCTTTCATCCCATAGACATCCTTTATCATGAGCATATTTTAAACATTCTAATTTACCATTAATAGCAGCTGCTTCTGTCGTACTTTCATCCCAAGGACATCCATTATCATGAGCATATTTTAAACATTCTAATTTACCTTGAAAAGCAGCTGCTCCTATAGTGTCTTCATTCCATGGACATCCATTATTATGAGCATATTTTAAACATTCTAATTGACCATTAAAAGCAGCTGCTCCTGTAGTGTCTTCATTCCATGGACATCCATTATTATGAGCATATTTTAAACAATCTAATTTACCATTAAGAGCAGCTGCTTCTGTTGTAAATTTATCCCAAGGACAATTATTTTTATGTAAATATTTTAAAATTTCTAGATTACCTTTTATAGCAGCCAAAATAGTTGCGTCTCTATTCAATTCGCATAAATTTTCGTGGGCATATTTTAACATTTCTAGATTACCGATTTGAATAGCACTAAACACAATATTGATTTGATTCCATTCACAGCCATTTTTATGGGCATATTTTAAGCATTCTAAATTACCATATTTGGCAGCAGCATCAGTCGTGCTTTTATCCCATGGACATCCATGATCATGAGCATATTTTAAACATTCTAAATGTCCTTTAGAAGCAGCTGCTTCTGTTGTCCATTTATCCCATGGACATTTATTTTTATGTAAATATATTAAACAGTCTAAATGTCCTTTAGAAGCAGCTGCTTCTGTTGTCCTTTTATCCCACGGACATTCATTTTTGTGAGCATATATTAAACATTCTAAATGTCCATTAGCAGCAGCTGCTTGTGTTACCCAGTTATCCCATAGACATCCATAATCATGAGCATATATTAAACATTTTAAATGTCCGTTAGAAGCAGCTGTTTCTGTTGTCTTTTCATTCCAAGGACATTTATTTTTATGTAAATATATTAAACATTCTAAATGTCCATTAGAAGCAGCTGCTTCTGTTGTCCTTTCATCCCAAGGACATTTATTTATATGTAAATATTTTAAACATTCTAAATTACCATATTTAGCAGCAGCATCGGTCGTGCTTTTATCCCATGGACATCCATGATCATGAGCATATTTTAAACATTCTAAATGTCCTTTAGAAGCAGCTGCTTCTGTTGTCCTTTCATCCCAAGGACATTTATTTTTATGTAAATATATTAAACATTCTAAATGTCCATTAGAAGCAGCTGCTTCTGTTGTCCTTTCATTCCAAGGACATTTATTTTTATGTAAATATATTAAACATTCTAAATGTCCATTAGCAGCAGCTGCTTCTGTTGTCCTTTCATTCCAAGGACATTCATTTTCGTGAGCATATATTAAACATTTTAAATATCCTTTAGTAGCAGCAGCCTTTGTTGTTTCTTCGTTCCATTCGCACCCATTATCATGAGCATATTTTAAGCATTCCAAATTACCGTTTTCAGCTGCTACAATAGTCGTATCATAATCCCATTCACATCCATTTTCATGAACATAAATTAACAATTCTAAATTTCCATTTTCAGCAGCTTTTCTAGTAGCACCTTTTTCATATTGACATTTTACATTTTTATTTGAAAATTGAATCGCTGTATAAGAACAATTGTTTATTAATTTTTGCTTATAAACGTTATATCGTATAACGTTTATTAAAACGTTTATAAATAAAATGTTTAATAATCTAGATTATTAAATAAGTATATCTAATTAAGAGAGATAGAATACAAATAATATTTTCTTTCATAAAGTTAATAAAGTTAAAATTATTATCTACTGAATATCACCCTATTACTCGTGACATTGCATTTAGTAGCACCCTGCATGTTGTATTCCTAATATTATAATTTTTATTTTTGAGCATACTTTAGTAATGCTCACATTTTGTGACGAATTATAATTATATTCTATCGATATATTGCTTTTAAAAATATAATAATATATTTTAAAAAAATAAGATAAATAAATTTGAACTTGATTGTTAAAAGGTTATCTTTTTAACCAATATATTTATCTAAATATATTGGTCAAAAGAAAAATTTTAAAATTAAATATAACTATATAACAACATTTACAAATTTATTATTGTATATTACAATGTGTGTGATGTGTTTCACAAAAAATAATGTAAATGATACTAGAGTTTGCGCATATAATTTGCGTATAATCATTTCACAAAAAAGAAGTAACATCATAATAAATTAAGATGCTAACCGGAATAATTCTCAGGACAATAAATACGCATAGAAAAAGAATGTAATTTACAGAGTGTTAAAAAAGTTAAGAAACAGTTCAATTGATATAAACAATGAGAACAATAAAAAACCGTTTTCTAACTGAACATTTATTTCTTTGAGTGGTTCAAATGCATTGAATTTTTTTTTTTAATGATTTTTTTAAATCACATTAAATGTTAAAAGTAACATCAATTATCATTACCGTATTGAAGTCAGGTAAACCTCCAGGAAAGACTACATATTACAGTCCTATTATTCTATTGCCTATTCTAAGAATAACTTTTGAAAAAAGTACTATGTGAACTCAATTTATTAGCTGCATCTCAAAAAATCATCATAAAGTTCCCAGTTTGACTTCAGAAAAAAGTATGCCACCACATATCAATTACATAGAGTGCTGACACAATTGATTCTACATTAGAAACAGGTATCATCCTGGATTTAGCTCAAGCGTTCAATACTGTCTGACATTACGGATTACTATTTAAACTTATAACCTTCTTTAGAGCTTTAAACCACCTATTACATAAGTCATATAAAAACAGAGTTTCTAGGGTAAGATTTCAACCAGTTTTATATATTTTTTGGAGTTCCGGTAGAAACTTATGCCGATGACACAACCCTACCTATCGTCGAACATTTATATATTAGAATGGTTCAAATCTATAATATTTTTTTTTAATGATTTGTTTAAATCACTCTCTTATCCAAAAAATAAAAACGTGTGTAATTGATATAGAAAAATTATTCTCTGAAAAAATGACTTGATCAAATAACTGATTTTCGTGCCGTATTGAGGTTGATGTATTGCCAAACAGGATTTTTTTAAAGTTTTTCATATTTATTTCAATAAATATTATAGTTTTTATGGCTTATTATTTTAACTTAAAACCCACTTGCCTGTTTCATATTTCTTTACTTGAGTCATATTTTAAATACACAGATTTTAGAGTAAGATTGTTTTTAACTTGTCCTATTTAAATACACTTCATATAATGCCGATATTCCAACATTTGATTTAATCTCGGTAGGAACTTATGACGACGACACATCTCTACCTTTCGTCGAATAGTAACCCTGTGATTGCTAATCTAATCTTAAAAAATCAATCGGATCACCTAAGCACTTGATTCACCAAGTGGCAATTTAATTAAACCCAGACAAATCTATACACACTACGAGGAGATATTTTCAATAATTACACTAAATGATGTACTAAGATCTCACTCTAATCATGTCAAATACCTAAGTCTGATATTTGGCAGACATTTCACTTGGGCCCCACACACTAAAGAGACAAGGAAAAAACTTAATTCCCGTATTCACCATCTAAGACCTCTAATGAAATCGAATTTTTTTCTAAAAAGTAAAATAAACCTATACAAAGCCCTGCTACAACCAATATGTACATACCGATTTATAATCTTGGGATCTGCTAAAACTTTAGGTATTTACGAACTTCAAACATTTCAGTCAATTTTCTTGCCTACCATTATTGGAGTACCATGGCTGTTCATGGTTTAAAGGTCCTTTAAACGAATTTTTACAAACATTACAAATTCCAATACTCGGCAAAAAAAATCGGCGACCGTGTCAAATAATGCAGCGAGAATATGTCGACGATCTGAACCGTGCGGTGTCACGAAGATGACTTCTTCACCGTACTTTCACGGACTTTGTACCGTGGCGTATCGCACGCGGTGTTTGTCAGCCAAATTACCATATACACATAATTGGGCGAAGGCTGATAAAGATGGCACGGATCGCGGTACTCCGTGTATCAAGAAGTGCCGAGGGACCGTGTCACTTTTTTTTTATACTCTTTATACAAGGGCGGTTTAAAATTTAAAAATTCGTATAGAAAAACATTATAATAATGTTCCATGATTTATAAGTATAATACATGGTTAAATATCTAATATAGAAATTAAATATAGTAGGAAATTGATATTTAATAATTTAGTATTTTAATTTTTAAGGAGAAATAAAAATTATGAAGTAGTTATTACTATTATGGCATAAGTATATAAAAGTTAAAGGTCTTGATGTAATACGTCAGTAAATAAAGAATTTAAACAAAAAGAATCATTAAAATACATTATAGTAAAATTAAATAAATTATTAAACAAATATACGTTATATAATAAATTAAAATAAATAATGATTGACGTCATTAATAATTTTATCAATTTATTTCAAAATTTGTTCTTAAATATTCATAATTTTAAATTATAAAGCAACTTCCTAAATTTTACATAAAAATATTCAAACTATAGGAAATCAAAATTGTATAGTCTAACGTATAAATTATATACTTAAAAATTTTTATAAATAATGTGAAATAGAATTTACCTTCGTTAAATATTACACAGGGTATTATCAACATTAGAAATATCAATTGCCAATTCTAGAATATAATAATATAATTTTTAAGATTTCAATTGAGAAACTCGGATAATGTGTATTACTCACTTTCATTTTTATTCTTATTGCTCAGTGTCCAATTTTGAATAACTATTGACAATTTTTTGACTACATTAGAATATATGCAGTAATGTAATACTAACATTAATATTAACATCAACTACTAACATAATGTATTCTTGCTTCTCTATTTTTAAATATAAAAAAAGTATTTTAAGTAAATGTTAAAGTATATAAAATTATTATTTTTAGTCAAACTATTCATACACGTGTAAGAAACAATAGTTAAATCAGTATTAGTATGAACACTTGATTTAATAAAAAAGGCGAATTATTATAACAAATACAGTTTTACATTAATATTTTATCCGAAACTGTCCGGTTCGCCGCCCGCCTCTGCACCTTGAGCAGGGCTTCACGGTTTTTGGACGAATACTCAAGAGTATCCGCCGAAACCGGGGACCCGTACAGGAAGACCGAGTGTATGACGCTGACTAAAAGTCTGCGTCGCATCTCTCTCGGCCCGAACTTTAGACGTTTGTCTATGACAAGGCCCAGATAAGTCATGGAGTCCTTAAGCGAGATCTCCACCCCCAGCACGGCGAGCCGTGGAGGAGTGAACTTGTACCTGCCCGTGAACAAGACCGCTTCGGTCTTGTCCAGGGCGAGGCTCAGCCCGGGGTTTTCGCTGCGCTACAGTGTCGGTTGGATCGGGCTCTACGGGGCTACGAAACGTCGGTACGAGCGCAGTTTCTCTAGCTCAGGGAATCGGGCGCGTCCTCAGGTTGCGGATAGAGGAACGGCCTGCAGATATGCAGGTTAGCCGCGAAATAAGCAGTCCATTTGGACTGACTCATAAGCGGTCGCGGACAGCGAGCCGCCCAAACGCTTGTTAACCCTGTAGATATACAGGATAGCCGTGAAATAAGCCTATATGGACGAATAAGCGGTAGCGTTTGGGTGTGAATGGAGATAAATGGCAACGCAACCAGCGAAGTTAGTCGCTCACTGGCCGGAGGGACCAGCTACGAGGGCAGCCTCCTCAAATCATATTTACATATGACAATGGCAACAAACGGAGTTAAAGTTACTGCATCAAGGGATTCGGATGCCCCAGTGGTTGGGAGGTGGACCCACCAGGTGTCGTTATCAAACGAATACACGCCAAATTCAGGAGTGTTGAGGCAGGCTCCTGACTGCGGTTGATCTCTTCAATGCTGACGGGACACCAAAGAGGGTGATTGGCCGGGCCGACGAGGTGTTGTCGGCTGGGCTAGACCTCGCCAGTGAGCAGGCGGGCCAGCTCTCCGACGTGCTGGAGGTCTATAGCCCTCACAGGCCAGTGTTGAAGATGGCCACAGCTCTTATCGAAACCATAAGGGCCTTTGAGTATGCTTTGATTCGGTTCAATATTATGTTTGATACTATTTTATAAGATGTGTTTAGTAGGGATATTCCTTTATAATTTTGGCAAACCATAGGGTCTCCTTTTTTGTGAGTCGGACATAACATCGACACGTGTCATTTGTTGGTATTTCTTCTTGTCTCCATATAATATCTACTATTCGTTTTAGCTGTGCATTAGGTCATTTCCTCCTTTTTTCAAGTGTTCTGCATTAATTTCATTTCCCGAGCGCATTTCCATTTTTCAACATATCTACTCCCCGTTTCACTTCTTCTATCATGTGTTCATCTTTACCGTGCTGATGTTTTCTTCCGCGTCTGCCTGAAATATTTGGTTTTATTTTGTCAAACATATCCTTGAACTAGTCTGCGGCCTTTCTCTTATCCGTTATTAGTGATCCCTCTACATCCTTTATAATTGTTGATTTTGCCTTAAATCCAGCCTTAATTTCATTAGCCTTTTTAAAAATGAGTTTTACGTTTTTTTTGTAACTATTCTCTATTACTTCGAGTCTAGAGTTTTCCCATGCCATTTTTTTCCTTCTAAACATTTGTTTCGTTTCTCGTCGCTTAATTGCAAGTAATCTTTTATTTTCCTCACTTGGGTCTTTTAACATTTTTGTTCGTGCAATATCTCTTTCACTACTTGCTATTTTACAGTGTTCATCAAACCATTTTTTTTTTGTTATTTTTTCTTCAAATCCCAATTCTTCTGTGGCCACTGTTTTGACTGAGTTTTCAATCTTGTTCCATAGATCATCAACGTTGTTTGTTTCCTCCATCAGACGAATGGTTTCTTTTAATTTATTCTTGTACTGTTTTTTGATCTCCCGATTTTCGAGACCATTTGTATTAAGCCTTTTGATAGAGACGGTTTTCCTTCGTCATTCCAATGGCAAACGTAGTTTGATTTTTGCTCTTACAATAAAATGGTCTGACATTGCGCTGCTGCCTCTAAAGCTCTGAACATACATGATGCATCTTTTGATCTTTCTATCAACTATAACGTGGTCTATTTGGTTCTTTATTTTACCTGATGGTGAGACCCATGTTTGTTTGTATATATCTTTGCGAATATATTATTATATCCGCACATTATTAAATATTTCCATGCGGAAATGTGGTGCTACTTATTACCATATTTCTAGTCATAACAAAATTAATTAATCTTGTATCATTATCGTTTGAGACTCTATGTAGACTCTCTTTCCCAATTGTTGGTCTATATATTAATTTCTGTCCTATTTTCGCATTAAAATCCCTCAGTAGGATTTTCACTTTGTTGTTCGGTATCAAGTTAGAAAGTAAATAAGTTGTTTTCCAAGCAAAGATAATAGTAATACTACTAAGGACCTAGAAACTACTAGTATTCAAGAAAAGGAACATAACTATTTTATGTGATAGCCAAGCTGCTCTGGAGACACTTAATAACAACCAGGTGAATTCAAGGCTGAATTAAGGGAAACTTTAGTATCACTATCAAAGTTAAATAAAGCTACACTAGCATTGGTACCAGGGCATAGCGATTTGTCTTGTAACAAAAGAACACATTTTATAGCGAGAAAGCTGCAGAAAACACCTATGTTGGACTAATATAGATACCAAACTAATATAATTCTCTAAGAGGTGTGAATATTGGATCTACAGGTCTGAGTGTATGGGCAGTTATTACACACTTTAATACATTTATTATAAAGACTTTTGGAAAATCTGTTTACTTTGTAATATAAGCACAAATGACATACAAAATATTTGTCATTAATACAGATTACTAATTTTTCTAAAATGTATTTATGTTATTAAATTATATAGTCCAAATATCCAAAATAGTTAATTTTCCAGGAGACATTATACATAATAACAATGAAAATAAATCTTCGATTTAAGGTAACTCAGCATACAATTATTTCCATGTAAGTGTTAGGCAATTGTGTATAAAATACTTTAATCAATGATGTGCTTTTATCATAAAGAAATCAAATTAAGTTCCTCTAATTAAAATTTTAATTCAAACAACTAATGTTCTAATCAATTTTTCCGTAATTATTCTTTTTATCTAAAAAATAATAAATAAATTTACTTCTCTCCAATATTAGCATGTTACTAGCATGGTCATCTACTATAAGCGCTTTATTTGTATACAAACGCCAATTTAACCGTGATATCATTTCGTACACCAACAAGAGTAAATAATTGTAGTCACTTTTTACGCATTTGTTTTTGTATATTATTAATATTTTATACAATATCATTAATTTTAAATAATTGTTTTCTAGTTTAAACTAACTTTCTTACTCGAAATAAAATAATTTGCAGAGAAATGTTACATTTTTCACGAAATAATTTATGTTTAGCTTTTTTTTTATTTAGCTATTCATTGGATGCATTAGACAATGGATTAGCACTAACTCCACCTATGGGATGGCTTGCTTGGCAAAGATTTAGATGCACAATTGATTGTGAAACATTTCCAGATGAATGTATTAGGTGAGATAGGGTTAGCTATTAACCCAATATAAAAACAAAAATATTAATAATTGAAAAAAAATATTAGCCATATAATTTTAAAAAAAATAAGAAGTTATTTATACAAATATATCTTAAGTTTTATTAATTAGTTTAAANAGTTATTTATACAAATATATCTTAAGTTTTATTAATTACTTTAAAAAATTTAAAAGCAAATTTTTTAAGTTAATATGAATTATTATTTTATTAACTGAACATCATAGCTATTAATAATTCTACTAATTATTTATTAATTTTAATAAATAACAGTGAAGAGTTATTCAAAAGAGCAGCAGATTTATTAGTTAGTGAAGGTTATGCTAATGTTGGATATGAATATGTTATCATTGATGATTGTTGGTTAGAAGCTAATCGTTCTGCCGAAGGAAAATTACAAGCTGATAAAAAAAGATTTCCAAATGGAATCAAAGCTTTGGCAGAATATGTAAGCTCAATTATTGAAATATATATTTTAAATTTACTTGAATAACATTTTGATTGGACATCAAATAACAAAGAACTTACCAACAGAGTTTACTGTATATTTATTAATATATTTATGATTTCATTATTTTTACATACTATGCTCGTAAAATTTGATAAAAATTATAAACTATCCAATGGGTGACAGAACTGGGACATAAAAAAGTCTACTCCAAATCAATAATTGCTTTATATGGTAATTATAATTATTTTATTCCCTCATGCAGATACATTCTAAAGGATTGAAGTTGGGAATTTATGAAGATGTGGGAACTAAAACTTGTGAGGGTTACCCTGGAATTGAAGGGCATGAAGAAATGGATGCTAATACATTTGCTGAATGGGATATTGATTATATAAAAATTGATGGATGTTTTATAGATGAGCGTAGAATGGATAAAGGTAAATTTAGACATAATTTGGTTGGCAATTAGGATACTGCTTCTCCATTAGCTGTACAAAAGTTAGTACATATGGTTCAGAGTCTTGATGAGGCCATAAAAGTAGATAAACCAAATAATACGTTGAATCAGAAATTAATTTAAGTTTTTTTTTTAATCAATTTGATTTAAAACAATAATAACAGGTTTTCCTCAATTTGGAAAGTTTTTAAACAAAACCGGAAGACCAATTGTATATTCATGTTGTTGGCCATTTTATCAAGATTGGAAAGGAATTAATGTAAGTTATGTTTATTTTGGATAAAATCAAGTATAAAAATTCTTGTAAATATCTCTTTTAATGAGTTACAGGTAAATTATAAACTTGTGTCTGAGAATTGTAATTTATGGAGAACTAATGGAGATATTCAGGAATCATATTCATCATTAATGAATATTGTGGATATGATTGCTTTGAAACAAGACTCTTGGGTTTTAAATGCAGGTCCAGGACATTGGAATGATCCTGATATGGTATAATAAATATTTTACCTCAATCATTTCATTCATAAAATTGCTTATCTTTTTAGCTGTTAATTGGAAATTTTGCTTTGAGTTATGAGCAGAGCAAAACTCAGATGGCTCTATGGGCTATTTTAGCAGCTCCTCTAATGATGTCAAATAAATTATCCTCTGTACGTTTAGAATACAAAAGTATACTTCAAAACACAGATATTATAAAAGTAAATCAGGATAAGCTTGGAATACAAGGAAGAAGAATATACAAGGTTGTATTTTATAAAACTTAGTAAACATTTTTGGCGTCTGAAGCAATTTTAATAATCTAACATTTGTTTCAATTTTTCAACTGTTTGGAGGTGGTTCCATCACTATGGTTCTGCTAATTTATATAACTGATTTTTCAACAAACGTCTCTTTAGGATCAAGGAATTGAAGTGTGGGTTAGGCCAGTTGAACCAAAAAGTGAAAAATATTACTCTTATGCTATTGCATTTGTCAATCGTAGAACAGAAGGTACTCCATACTTGTATAGTACCTCATTAAGAGATCTTGGATTAATAAATCCTGAAGGTTATATCATAAAAGTAAAAAAATTCAATTATTTTTAATATTTTATTAATTAAGGAGTAATTAATATTATTATAATATTGATTTTTTTTTTTTTAGAATTTGTACTCAAATCATACAGTTTCTAAATTTTTAGAGCCCAATTCATTGATTAAAGTTTTAACGAATCCTACAGGTAACATATTATTGTTTAATAACATAGTGCTATTAAAGCTCAGATTATCATTAATAAATTTTAAATGGTGATGTTATTTGTAATATTAAATATTACAATTTTTATGTTATCAAAACAGTAATAAATTATTAAAATATGTTTTGAATTTTAGATTAACATATTCTAAAATATAAATATTTCATTTTTAATGTTTCATATTTCAATACTTAAAATTAATATTGAATATAATATGATATAAAAATATATTTTTATAAAACAATATATATTAAAGTATTAAAAAATGGCTAAAGTAATATTTCTTTTATTCCAAATTACTCACTGTATCATTTTTTCTATTAAATTTCTTTGATTAAAGTAAATAAAAGTTTTAAGTGTTTATTACTTATAAACACTTAAAATTTAGGTCATAACAATTTTGTTATTATAATTCAATTAATGATTAACATTTCTTTTTTCAACTTTATTTCTCATGTATATATATATATATACTATAGAGTTTGGAATTATTTATTTAAGACTTTTATATTAATAATTTTTTCAAAACAGATTATATTTTGAAAATCTACTTTAGAAATAAAACATTTAAATGTATTTTTAATTATTGTTTATGTTTTTAATAATTAAATTATACAAATAATACAGATTATTTATTATCTAAAATATGCAACTACAATCAGTTATAATGTATTTACTCAATATTTTTATGTATTAATTAAAAATTTAAATAATTGTGAAAACCTATAACCAATATTTTATTTTAATCAATTCATTGATTAAAGTTTTAAAGAATCCTACAGGTAACATATTATTGTTTAATAACTTAGTGCTATTAAAGCTCAGATTATCATTAATAAATTTTAAATGGTGATGTTATTTGTAATATTAAATATTACAATTTTTATGTTATCAAAACAGTAGTAAATCATTAAAATATCTTTCAGGTGTTGTTTTTCTTAAAGCCAGAATAGTAACTAAACAACAAAGAATTACTAAATACTATGAAGAAATTAAGAACAATTTGTTTTTATTCATGTGATTCTCTATAGATAACATAATATCAATTATTTTTTATGTGTAGTACTTTAGAGTCAATTTATATAATTTGAGTATAAGTATGAAATGTTCAGTATATTAATAAATTTGCATAAATAATGTCATTTGTTTTTATTAATACAAAATAGAACTAGTTGATCGTATACTTAAAATAATAAGTTTTTATCTTGGTGTATTTTTACAATTTAAAATAGCACCCTAAAGTGATTTGAAATAGTGGTGTTGATAGTTATATAATAAAAATTAACTATTGAATTTTCAACATATACCAAAGTTTAACAATTAATTTATCAATCAAATAAAAAGACTATTTTGATAGTTTACTTTTTAAACATAATTTTTTATAATTTATTTACAATTACATTTAAGTACATAATATTACTGAGTATTGTACAGAATTTTTTATTTAAAAAAAATTACTGAACTCATTATTAATTGTAACAATATTTTTATAGAGTATGGGTGGCATTTTTAACATGTTTTTTTAGAAAGAAATGACAAATCTATCATAAAATTTATAATAGATAAATAATTAAGTATTTAATTTCAGTGCAGCATATTTTTAGAAATATAGAACTACTCTATATTTAATAAAATACATAATTTATTATAATATAAATAATCATAAATCATTTCAATGTATTATTAAATACAAAATATGTAACATTAAACATATTCCAAATACTGCTACTATAATTAAGGTGAACAAATATTATTAAGTGCATAGATCATTAACACAGTGATGTAATTTATCTTGCACCATAGAAAACTCAATTGTTTGATTTATGTACAATTATTTATTTTTAATAAAGACTATTGATAATACTGATAACCTATAAAATATATTTTTTACAATAATTCTTGATTATTTTCACAGCCGATAAAAATGTAGTAGAACCAACAATAATATAAAATAAAACAATTGTATACTATTGCATATACAATAATGTAACTATATAAATTAACAAATATGATTTAATTTTTAGTTTTTTTTATGGTAACAACTTTGACTACATTAACAAGTATATATTATATACTATTAAATAAAATGTGTAATAAATTTTAACTAGACAAATATAACTTTAAATGAACTTAAATTATAATAAAATATTAACAGTGTAACTTAACATATAATTAAACAATTTATAATAAGAAAAATAAAATAAACAAATTAAAATACTATAATCACCAAACAAACAGCACAAATTTTGAATAATTTTTAAAAACTTGAAGATGTGACATAAATTTTAATGACTCAAAAATTATGCACAAAAAAAAATTTAACTTAAAAAATAGTTACAAGTTAAAAGATTAATTTAAATATAAGGATATTAGGAAGAATGGAATTTAAAGTTTAATAAAATTAGAATTATTTAGAAATTTAAAAAAGTGCCATAAGATAAAACAATTTTACTGATTAAGGATTAAATAAATATTATATATTTGAAATAAGTTTTTGAATATATCCACCTGTGTCAATCAAATAACAAACAAATTTGTTTTCATTCATAATTTTTTATCAAAAAAATCTCATGATTATAAGTGATGACATTATTTAGTTAGTTTCTAAAATATTTGGGATAAATATCTTGAATAATATATTCATAAAAAATTTCAAGCCCAAAAATGTTTAGTAGTAAAATTTAATACTTTTTTCTTGCTAAAATATTTGAAAATCATAATAAAATAAAAGATAATTAATTCATAATCCCATAATTAAAAACAATATAACCAATATAATAAATTATATTCTTAAATTTTAAAATTATGTAAACATAGCATTTAACATTATCAAAATTAATAAATTGCTATATACTTATTTAATTGTGTTTATAAACACATAAAAAATGAATAAATTTTAATGGACAATTTTTATAATCTTATAAAAAGTGTTCAATAAAAATATTTTAATTCGATTTTTAAATTATAGACGGAACAAATTGAGATAAATATAACTATATACCGTATAGGTTTAATTATAGTAATACAAACTTTAAAATTATTTTATTGACAACCTGAAAGAACTAGAAGCTACCAATTTAAAAATATCACTATGAGATTCATAGTTTCGAACTTAAAAAATGTTTATAATAAAGCAAAAGTTATTAAAACAAACAATACAGAATTTAATTTTGGATAGCAATTAAAGTATTTTTTTTAATAATTTTGTTAAATTTAAGCAATAAATTGTAAAAATAATAATGAAAACAAAAATAAAGATCATAAAAAAAATTAATTCAGATGATTTAAAGAATTAACAAAAATTAGTCAATTTTAATAAAATTAAATTACTTTATTACTATGACAAATAATAAAAATTTTCAATTGCAACAATTTGTTCATGGTTGATAATAAAATAACTTATGTGAAAGTTTAATTTAAACTCAATAATTTGGTGTGCTTCAATTAGTATATTTACTCTATTTGTTTAAATACATAAGTAGCTAAACAAGTTTACGTTAATTTTAATAACCTCAGTCAATTAACCAAAGTAAACATTTACAGAAAAATGTATACAAGATAGTAATATCACATTGATTCAGAATAAGGATGGACATCTTGTCCAATCCTGTTTTTGTTTACAACTCCAATACTCATCAGTAAATATGTAGCAAGACTTTTTTGTCCATTTGCATACATCTTTTTTGAACCAAAATGGTTTAACTAAACTTTTCACATTTTCTTGATCAGTATCTTCATCATCTTCTGAAATGTAGTTATTTTAAATAAATTAATTAAAATACAAATATTAAAATGTATATTTAACTCTATATTACAGACATATTATAAGGCATTTTCACTAGGCGGCACTAACAAAAAAACATTTTTAAGTCAAGTTCAAGTTTAACTCCCCTAGAAACCAAACAAATTTATACGGTTACAACATACATATAAATTTTCTCTTATGAAAAATCCCTCTTCAATTCTGGATACATTACTAAGATATATTATTGAATATTTAGCTAAATCATTGTGGCACCCAGGGAGTAAGAAAGCAAAATTTTCTTTAGGGATTTAGCTGCCCTTAGACAATTTTTACCACTTTCATTAAAAAAAAATAGATGAAGTTAGTTTTATAATCATGAAGTTGAAGGGGCCACAAGGATATTTAAAAAGAACAATCATTAGTTGTACACCTAAGAAGCACTTATTAATTTTATTTAACTAGTAAACAAGATATATCCATTAACCATTACAAGACAATGATTTTTACTAGGTGGCACTAACTAATAATACCATCTACTGTATATAGAGTGTTCAGTAAGTAACGAAACTGGTTTCTATTATTTTCATTGTTTGTAACAATTTACTTATTTACTAAACTGTATATTGAAATATACCTTACAATATTATAAAGTTGAAATTTCAAAGGTTTCCCATTTTTTTTAGCCTTGAATTTCATAACAAAAATTTGCAACAAAATTTTACATAGTAATACACTAAAATGTAAAACTTGATACATTTGGACTAAGATGAAACCATTACCTACTTTTGAAAAAAATGGGTTATTCAAAAGTTATTGTATACAATAAAATAACATTTTAAAATATAAAATTAATTTTGTAAGTTCACAAAAAATGAACTTAGCTTGTTTTTCTGGATACCCTCCATATAATTTAAAACATTTTTACAATGCTTTATTTTATAAAAAAAAATTATTTCTTAACCACTAGTTACATAATTGTTACAAGATTAATAAGAGACAAAATTGATTATTTAGTTTAATTTTTTTAAATAAAAAGATAAATCATATAAAAAGAAGTTAGAAAAAATGATTTTTTAATAAAATTAAAAAATACAAACCACCATTATCATTATCCTGGATACTAATTTTCCTACTAATAGATTGAGCTTTACGATTTCTGATTCTTTGTATTTCTTCTAGTCTTAACTTTTCTATATTGGCTTCATCCCATAAACCAAACTCCATTAATCTTTGATCTGATCTATATCTAGAATCAGTTGGTGCTACTCCTTCTTCTAATTCATTCAGCTGACTAGCTAATATCGTAAAATAGTAATATTTTTCACAATCTGGTCTGCAAAAATGAAATAATATGCAATTGATTGAAGTAAATAATTGATAATTAAATATATAACATACGGTGGTAGCTTTCTTTGCCAGATAACCTGGTACGTTCCAGTTTGACAAGTAGGGCTATCAACAGGACCTTCATATTTAATAACAGGAGCTATTTCTACCTTGTTATCCCAAGTTCCATTAACAACAAACTTGATTTCATTATCTTTGTTAAGAACATAACCTTTAACCTAAAAGATTTTTAAAAATATCATAATATTACTTATACTCATCTTTTTATGAAGTGCTAAATCTAAAATTGGCATCTAAGCGGGTTATTTTGTCCAAAAACAATTTTTTAAATGAGTTTTGTTTATTTAGGGATAAACTTTACTTTTCTATTTTTAAACATTTTTAACTTTAATGTAATTCATATTTAAGTATTTTCCTGACTTATTATTACAATTTTTTTTGTCATTATAAGTACTCAACTGAAACTAAACATATATTACTCAATAATATAACAAAAGATTAAAAATACATTTTTATATTATGTACTTAAATTGTTTTTCCAAATTTCTAAGGTTATGAACATTTTTAAAATAAATAATAACATTTTTAGTGAATTTAACCTTCTTTACATAAATGCAATATATATCTATACAGAGTGATTCATTTATCATGAACCACTTAATTAATCAAAAAATAAAAATAATATTAATCATTTTTTTATTTGTTTCTTTTAATTAAATATTTATCTCAATTTTTCAATCGTAGTTTTATTTTTTATTCATCCCTAATACCTTATAAGGATGTCAAAATTACATCATAATGACAACACCCCTAATTAACTAGCTTTTTTAAAGATAATTAAGAATTTAATTAAGAAAATGACGGATCAATAACAACTTTTGGACCAGTATTTCGGAAGTTCTTACAATTTAAAGTAATGAATGGAGGTGAAGAATAGGTGCTATTATTTTTATAACTTAACATTTACCGTATTTACTCTTCTTTTCATCTAAATAGAAATGAGTCAATGACTTCCAAAATACTGGTCCTAAAGTTGTTATCGACTAATTGAAACCCATAGAAGGTATAAGGGAGGATATAAAAAAAAACTCTAAGATTGAAAATTTGAGTGAAAAATTAAACTAAAAGAAACAAATATAGAAATTATTAATATTATTTTTATTTTTCGATTAATAAGTGGTTCATGATAATTGAATCACTCTATATATATATATATATATATATATTTTACCCCCTGAAGTTCTTGACCCTTAGTTATGACTATATTACCAATATTACATAGGTTTTTATAAGTTAGATTACAATTTAAGTTTGTTCTAAAATGATTAATAGGTAGTAAAGTCCAATATATTTTTTTTCCTCTATTTCCAATAAACAAAGATTTAAAATTGCTATTCAAATTAGTTATGCAAAATTAAATTTACTTTTCGTTGTTGATCTCTTGTAAAGTAGCTGTAAGGTATATAACTTAATCGACATCTTGATCCATCTTTATGATTAGTTATAGTCATTTCTCCAGTTTGATCAACCCAAAGTTTTCCTACTATGATATTATGAATAGTGGTTGTAACCTTTGACCAAGTATAATGATTTTCTAATAATATATTTATAAAAATATAATTAGTACAAGTTAATAAATCACATACTACAAAACAAAAAGTAAAATACCAGAGTTTAAAAATTCTAAATGAGCAATACCATCAGGAATTGCTTGCAAGTATTTTCCTCGGAATTTTGAAGACATTGAAAATTCTTGCCAACATGTCCAATCTTTACCAGAGCAATGTTGTGCAGAAATTGGAGGATGATGTGAAACCTAATGTGTCAAAAAAAAAATTACAATCAAAATTATAGATAATGGAACAGTTATATTTTTTTATAATGTTGTAAGGCATATTAACTTGTTCACTAAAAGCTTTCCAGCCTAGATCTGCCATTCTGTCACATTCATAAGTTTCCCCTAAAAGTGGATTAAATGGTTTACTTGTACGATTTACAGTAGTGGAATATGATGATATTGTAAAAGCTGCAACATAAGCAAGTTGTTCTAATGAATCCTTGCATTGTGCAGCTCTGTCAAGTAAGCTGGAATATTCAAAATCTTCAGTTAAACGTTGAAGGGTTGATAGTGGTTCAGAAAAATTGACCTATAAAACATCAATTATTGTAAAAATTGAAGTAATTTTTGTATTAATAATAATTATGGTTATAGAATTTATACAGGCATTGGTATTTTTGATAAATCTTTTCCTATACAGTTTTTCAAAATACTCCAAATATGTAACTGATGATTTGGTTTATCAGGAACACGACATCTTCGTTTATCACCTGGTTTCAATGGATTTTTAAGCACATTATCAAGCATTTTTTTGGCATTTTCAGACAACTGAGGCTTGTTGTTTATATCCTAAATAAATTTAATATTCATAAAAATGATGTAATTGAAGATTTTTTAGTTAATTATGAAAATAAACCAACTTACACATGTTGATTGTAATGTAGAGGATGAACAAATTGCTGCAGTTAATATGGCTGATGAATCTGTTGCATCATCAATATCACTGCTAGATGCTCCACTACAATCTAATTCTTCATTTATCAACTTGTCTAATCCCTAAAGTTAAAATAAAAAAAAAATAATAAAAATCTGCATAAATTATATCTATTATAAGTACAATGTTTTTAAAGCTAAATAATTATACTAATCATAAACCCATTTTTTAATATCACAATTTTCAATTACCAAAAAGTGAAATGAATTTGTTTCTAAAAAAAATTTTAAATTAAGATATTATCATTATCATCTGTTTAGCCTATATCCCGACTATTTGTTGTATACTCTACATTATGATTTAACAGGATCTTTATAACAGTTGTCAATCTGATTCAACTTCGTTATAGCTGAGGGAGCCAGTAAGGGAGCAAGATGTGTGTCACTGTAAACGATTCCAGTCGACTTGATAGACCAAGAATTGAAAGTGAAAGAGATAACAGGAATCAAGGAAAGGCGCTTTTTTTATTGTTTCGCCATAGATGCCAATAGAAGTAACATAGCCCCCTCAGTTAAAGAATTAGTTCCCCAAATATTAAATAAATTACATATACATGTATAATATTTTTTTGAGGTAAGGAGAAAACACAATTAACATTTTCAAAAATATTATTATAATTTGTAAAAAAAAAAAAATTATAATTAAAAGATCTGGTGGTTTTATGTATTACTTATAAAATTAAACATCTCCATAAATTTAATAAATAATCTACATGTCATTAAACTATGAAAAAACAATACTCTCAATCTTATCATTTATCATATAATTTAATAATAATTTTTTTATCTTTTATTTAAAAACAATTCATGTACCAAAATTTTATAATATAAAGAGATTATAAAAATTGACCAGATTTTAAGTCAAAATAGGTAATTGCTCTCTTTACCATTTTCCTCCCCCAACAACTCTCCTATATTATTATAATAGATATGATAAAATAATCATTTATTTTTATTTACATAACTAATTTTTTCTAATAATTATAGTAGAATGGTAAAAAAAAAAATTAAAATTACACCTCAAAAATTTAATTGAACGATATTTGTTAATAATTTATTATTATAATATATAATAATGATATTTGTAATAATAGCAACTATGATAGCCAAGTTTATAAAAGGTATATGAATTATTTTTTATATGTTTGTACTGAAACATGGCATAACAAGAAAAAAAGCTCCAATAAACCAAAATTTACCAACTGAAAAATTCTAGGGGCCACTAATTTAATTTTACACGAGACTGCTTAAATAATTTAGGGTAGGCATGTTGATAATTTAATTTATCAAATAATATATATTACCTGAGCATCTACTGATAAAGATTTTTGATTTTGATGAATGTCGGATGATTGTCTATTAACCAAAAAATTGTTAGTGGTACTATCAAAAGGTTCACCAGCTTGAGCATCAAAAAACTCACAATTGTCCGAGGATTCATCTTCAGAGGAATCATCTAAAAAATTTAATTCAAGTATTAGACTTGTTAAAAGATTTCAATATTTATAGAAGTCATTTTAATAAATGTTATGTTATTTATTGTTATATTTTTAATAATAGTGTTTATTTTAGCTTTGACGCGATGCTGAGAAGGTATTAATTTTACTATGATGTGTTTTCTTTGTGTCTGTTGCCACTTTTTCTCAGCTCGTAATGGACCGATTTTTTTCAACTATACGTCGAAATATCAAAAATCGTATCTAATTGAAGACATTACCCTCTAAAATTGAAAAAATTTCCCTCGTTCCTCGTAAATGAGGGAAACCTTAAAAAAAATTACAAATTTAAAAATCACTAATTTTCGATATTTTTTCTTAACACTACCATAACTTTTTCAAAAATTAACAAATCAAAATAACTTTTTTTAAAATAGAAACCTTAGGTATTTTTATTTTATTTGATATAATTTTTTTGAGATTCTAACCCTTTACATAGCCACAAAGGGGAATTCAAAATAACAACTTATTTATAAGTCAACTTTTTCAATTTAACTTTTAAAAATGTTCTGGAAATACTGCGTCCTTTAAAAGTATGTCAAATTAAAGCTTATGTTACGCACTATAAATTAAAAAAAAAAATTGTCCCGAGGACCTATCTCCTTTATGCAAATGGTTGTCGTAGTTAAAAAACATACTATTTTTGTATTAAAATTTATTTATTTTTTGTTGGTTTTAAAATACTTTATACGGGTTTGTCATAGTAATGAATCCGCCAATAAATATAAAATTTACATGAATCTAATTTATATTAAATATTAATTTATACTTATTTTGCCTCATCAAAGCTTTTTAAAATTTTTTGAAAACTTAAAATTTGTATAAAAAGTAGACATTTTTCAACTTAAATTTTGAAAATGTTCCGGGAATACTGCGTTTTTAAATATATGTTAAAATAAAGCTTGTACTAAAAGTTTAAAAAAAGTTTTGTACCGACGACCTATTTTCTATGTGCAAATGGCAGTCGAAGTAGACACAAAAAATAGGAATTCATTTTGCTTTTGGAATAATCCACCAATTTCTTAAAATTAAATACTATCTACAGATTTGCATCGAAGCGTTTCTTATAATTATTTTAATTATTGTCCCAACTATGCCTCGTCCATACTGTGCTATCTTTTTTAGCTTCGATGCGAAGCTGAGAAGGTATTGGTTTTACTATGATGTGTTTTTTTTTTTTTTGTGTCTGTTACCACTTTTTCTCAGCTCTCATCGAACGGATTTCTTTCAACGATACGTCAAAAGATCACAAATCGTATCTAGTCGAAGACATTACCCT